GTCATTGTTCAAAATGTACAAGATGCACCATTTCCTTCCGGAATCATCTTGGATGATAAAAATTACCCGTTCTGGTCTCAATCCATGGAGATGCAAAGCGGATCAAAGAACAAATTAGGGTTCCTCACAGGTTCCACCCCGAAACCAACAGACGAAAAGAAGATGGAAGTATGGGTCATTGATAACCACCGTGTCAAGTGCTGGCTCATTGATTCAATGAGCCCCCCCCCCCCCTGATGCAACACTTTATTAGACTTCAGACAGCTAGTGAAATCTGGGAAGCGGTTGCAAAGACTTTCTATGATGACACTGACGAAACACAGTTATTAAAATTGAATATGAGATCTTTCACCACGTGTCAAAATGGAAGAACCCTTCCTACTTACTATAATGAACTAGTAAGTATTTTTCAAGAAATTGACTCTCAAATTATGAAACGGGATATAGATGATGATGTTACCGCTGTCGTATCTCTTCATAAAACCATGGCCCGTCTTCAGGTTCATATTTTTGTCATTGGACTTGATCCAGAGTTCAATCAAACTCGGAGTGAAATTCTAAGAAAATATCCACCTCTTGATCTTGAACCATGTTATGCATATGTATGTAAAGACCAAAACCAAAGACTTACCATGGAAGAAACCAAAACTGAACCTGATGGAATGGTTCACCTAGCCCACCAAAAGAGCCATTCAAAAGGGAAGAATCCCAACACCAAGGGAGGCAACTACACTTGCACTCAATGTGGAGAAGAAGGCCACTCCAAGCAAAGATGATATGAAATTATTGGATACCCTAATTGGTGGTACTTCTTGAAAAAACCAAGGAAAAAGATCAGTCAAGCTGCTGCAGCTACTTCAAAATCTAAGGAAACCTCCAAACCTGTGGCTGCTCATGTGGAAAAAGTAGACGATACAAGTAAGTCAAAACTTAATCGTAATAATACTTGGATTATTGATACTGGAGCATCAGACCACATGAAAAATGACTCTTCAAAACTCACTTCCTTGTGCTCTCCACCGCAATCTAACATTGTCACTGATAATGGGGGAGAAGCACATGTCATATGCGAAGGGGCTGCTCATATATCCAGCTCTATGAACCTGGATATCGTTTTAGTTGTCCCTTCTTTATCCTCTAATCTTCTATCCATCAGTCAGATCACAAAAACCATGAACTATTTTGTAACATTTTGGCCTGATGAGTGTGTTTTTCAGGAGATTTTGACTTGTCGGATTCTTGGCTATGGTATTAGGAGAGGGAAGTTGTACTAACTTGACGAAAACCCACATGGTGAACCATATAGTGCCAGAATAAATCAAGGAAGTAAAGAGTTTGCATGGTTATGGCATCGTCGCTTGGGCCATTTATCTTTTAGTTATCTTCTAAAATTGAAACCATATTTGTTTTTACATACAAAAGATATTGATTTTCAGTGTGATGTTTGTGAAATGATGAAAAGGCATAAAATTTCATATGCTCCCAACTTTAATAAAAGATCATTTCCTTTCATGACTATTCATTCTGATGTTTGGGGTCCGGTTCGGATCCCCACACCTACTGGTGCTCGTTATTTTGTTACATTTATTGATGAATGCACTCGAATGACAAGGATATATCTCCTTAAAACCAAAGGGGAAGTTGGAGGGATGTTTCAGGAACTATATGTAATGGTGAAATCCCAATATAAATTCAACATACAGGTCCTACAAACTGATATTGGGGGTGAGTATATCAACCCTGAAATGGAATTTTTTTTGTAAAAAAAACTCCATTAGACACCAAACTTCGTGTGCTAATACACCCCAATAGAACGAATTGGCTAAACGAAAGAACCGACAACTACCTGAAGTAGTTAGAGCGTCACTATTTGACATGAATGTAACAAGAGAATACTTCGGGGAAGCAGTTCGCTCAACTGCATATCTCATTAATCGAACTCCGTCTCGAGTTATTGATTTCAAGACTCCCCTTAAAAAACTTTAGGAACTTGTTTCTACTCCAACAACTCCAAACCTGGAACCATGTGTGTTTGGATGTACACCATATGTTATGATCCTAAAGAAAAAAAGATGTACGTCACTCGAGATGTTGTTTTGCATGAGAACATTCCTTTTTTCCAACATGAGTGCTCTTCACGGGGAGAAAACACTTGATGCTGAAGAAGAAATCACTCATGAATACCCCCAGAAGTTATACAACCAACTGAGACTCCTTCTGTTACCGATGATATCAATATTGAATTTGTGCCCCATGTTGTTACCTATGATGTCGAGTTTGTGAAAAATTATGTTGAAGAAAGTAATGAGTATCTTGTCGAAGATGCGGGTCAAAATGATCACCATGAGCAACACGAATGTACAACTTCCCAAACTACTCCTATTACCACCTAGAATCAACATGCCTCATCACAGGTAAATACTCAGTCTAATTCTTCTGATTTACATGAACAGGTTAGTGAACCAAGGTACCCCACCAGTCAAAAGAGGGGTGTTCCAAAGAGACAGTACCAACCAGATCTTAGAGCTAAGGAAAAATTTCCTATAAGCAATTATATTTCATTTCATCTCCTTTCGAGGTCTCACGCCTTTGCTGTGTATCAACTGTCATCGATATCTATTCCTAGTGATGTACAAGCGGCATTAAAGGATCAAAAGTGGAAAGAAACCATGAATGAAGAAATGAAAGCACTAAAGAAGAACCATACATGGAAATTAACGTCTCTTCCACCAGGAAAGAAGATTGTTGGATGTAGGTGGATATATTCTATCAAGTTTGATTCAAATGGAAACATTGATAGATATAAAGCAAGGCTTATCGCTAAAGGATACACTAAAAAGTATGGGATTGACTATGGAGACACGTTTTCCCCTGTTGCAAAAATGAATACCATCCGTATTCTCATCTCCATAGCAGCAAATAAAGACTGTCCATTGAGACAATTTGACGTAAAGAATGCATTCCTTAATGGGGTCCTAGAAGAAGAGGTATACATGGAACCTCCTCCAGGCATAAATTGTCAAGGAACAATGTGTAAATTAGAGAAGATATTGTTCGGACTAAAACAATCTCCTGGAGCCTGGTTTGGGAGATTTTCGAACTTCATGAGAAATATTGGTTATAAACAAAGTGATGCAGATCACACACTCTTCGTCAAGAAAAATGGAATGAAGGTGACTGCCCTTATTGTGTACGTAGACGAAATGGTGGTCATTGGAGATGGCCTAGAAGAAATGATCAATCTCCAATCGGTCCTCACAAAAGAATTCGAATTGAAGGACCTGGGAAATCATAAGTATTTCTTAGGTATCGAAGTGGCTAGATCAGTTCAGGGTATCACCATGTGACAACGAATTACCAGGTGACAACAGAAGTATGTGCTGGACTTACTCACTGAAACGGGCATGTTAAATTGTAAACCTGTAGAGACTCCCATTGAAATGAATCATGTTTTAACTATCCATCCAGATTAGGTTCCAACCAATAAAGAGAGGTATCAAAGACTGGTTGGAAAACTCATATACTTGCCTCACACGAGACCAAATATTGCATATGTCGTAAGCATCGTGAGTAGATTCATGCACTCACCAAGTGAAGAACACTTGAAGGCAGTCTGCCACATACTACAATATCTTAAGTCATCACCAGGGAAAGGGTTGTTTTTTTGCCAAGAATCAAAGTGAAGAGATAAAAGGGTATATAGACGCAGATCGGGCTGGAAGCAAAACTGATGGTAAGTCCACATCGGGATACTTCACTTTTGTAGGAGGTAACCGGGTTACCTGGAGAAGTAAGAAACAAAAGGTCATTGCCAAATCAAATGCAAAGTATGAATTTCAAGGAATGGTACATGGAGTCTGTGAATTACTCTGGATAAAACGAATCTTGAGAGATCTTGGAATTAAGAAACTAGACACTATTATGTTGTATTCTGACAACCAAGCAGCTATGAAAATTGAAACAATCCCGTCCAACACAATAGAACTAAACATGTAGAAGTTGATCATCACTTTATTAAAGACCATCTCGAAAAAGGTACAGTTAGCCTTCCTTTCGTTGCCTCAGAAGATCAGCTTGCAGATATGTTAACAAAGGCTATTTGTGGAAGAGTCTTTCCAAGCTCTCTAGACAAGCTGGGATTGATAGACATCTATTCTCCACCTTGAGGAGGAGTGTTGGCGAGAGCTTATTTTAGGTAATGATTTGATCAATTATGTACTTATCCCCTTTCGTTGTTTACAAATGTAATTAGTTGTATGTATGTTGTATCTGTGTATATGTTGGGCGTGTTCGGCAAAATTAGCTGGTAGCGGGTAGTAGGTAGATTGTAGCTTGTAGCGTTTTGTTAAATGCTACACGAAGTAGCATTTGGATTTGGAGCGTTTTGTTTAAACTAAACTCTAGAAGCTTGTAGTGCCGAACGAGACTTTCTGTTCAAAACGGAGCGTTTTGTTAAACGCTAGAAGCTTGCACCATGCCAAACACGCCCATTGTATCATTCTCCAAATTTTTTTGAATCAATGAAAAACCTCTTCATATTGAATCCTATGTTCTTCGGTAGAGTGGGTAGGGGAAGAAGCATGCATCTGTAGTGGAGTCATCGGCCGCCATTGGCAACCGTAGGGATGAAGAAGAAATCAAGAAGTGGAAAAAAAATGTATTGGTACCTATGTTGTATATTGAATAATATATATAAATTACAAGTTACAAGATATAGGAAAAAACAAATTATCCTATTTTAGAGGATCTACGTACACAATCGTCTCTGATGCTTTGTTGACTAATTAACAACTAGATCTACCGCCAAAAGAAAAAAAAGGTGTCTGCTTTTTCGGATGTATCAAAAGTTGTCTGCTTTATCAAACACCATTGCCTATCGGAAACTCTCGTTCTTCAACTAATTTTGGAGGTGGAAGTCCAACCTTTTAGTTGTCTGCTTCGGATGTATAAAAGTCCCGAATAAGATTGCCTAAAAAATTTGCCTCAAACGAGTACTTGAATTAGAAACAACTTGTAGGCTGAAGTAATCCAGAAGCAGTACCAGCAGCATAGGAGCAAGAGGAGACTGCTGGTTGACCCCCATATTTGAGGTTAACATCCTTTAGTCTGATATTAGTGCATGGCTTCCCCTTTCTACAATCAAATTTCACTGCCACCAGTGTTGCTGATGTTCCATGTACATCCTCATACAGCACGTTGCTGATCTTTACTCCTGAAACCTGATTGGGGCAATTCTCATTGTTTGGGCAGTAATTTGCATCTATTAGTATCGGATTTTTTACGTTCACCATACTTGCATGCTGGAAAACAACATCCTTCACGAATCCATTGCTAAGTCTTGCCCATGTCTTTATCCTTAAACCATTCTCACTACCTATAAATGTTGCAGTTTTTACAGTAACATTCTGAACACCCGCTTCTATTACGTCCCAACCTAGACTCCAGATGCTGCATCCACATAACAAAACTAATTAACAGATACACAAACACACTTGGAGAAGAATAATATCATAGTTCAAAACAAAACTATAGATGTTATAAAATACTCATGTACCTGATGCCATGACCGGGTCCACACACCACCTTCTCTATCCAGACATTAGAATTTCCGGGGCCAATGGAGATACAGTCGTCGCCTGTGGAGATCTTAGAATTCAAGATGCTGACGTCTGTGGAAGATGATAAATGGATACCATCTGTGTTAGGGCTGAGCCCGGGTGCTGAGATGCTAACCCCTTGTAGCTTGGCATTGGTGCATGCATATAACAGGATGTGGAACATTTGGCTGTTTAATGACCTTAAATTACTGATCACTATGTTTTGGGAATGGTAGATGCCAAGTGTCTGCAAGATGAATGGTATATTAAAATTAGGAAGGAATTTTAAAACAACATCAAAGTTTATAAAAGGTGCATGCAAGCATAATAGTACTCACCGTTGCTCCTTTAGGACATGTCTTTCCAGAGGATATGCAGGCCCATAGAGAAGAACCTTGGGCATCAAGGGTTCCACCGGAGATGGTAACATGGTTAGTCCGGTAAAACTTAATCCAAACTTGGGCGTTGCCTATTGCATTTTACGTTGAGGGAGCCACCAAAGTACCATCTATCTTCATTGTGATGGCTTTGCTTTTACATGCTTGGCCGGAGAATGTGATTGCAGAACCAATCAAGTACCTGCCAATGGGTACATAGATGGTGGCGGGATCTGTTGAATTACAGGCCAAACCCCATGCTTTTAGGAATGCACTTCTTGAGTCTAAGCTGCCATTGGCTTTGGCTCCAAAACTTAGGACGTTATATGTTAGCTTTGCTGAATATGAGTACTGGAAGAGGAGGAAAATCAAGACTGGGACAACTAGTTTGGTGACCATGATGAAGTTATTAAGAATTGGTATAGTACGCTGTACGCATAACCAACCCGCTGATTTGGTTATTTATATCAATTGAATTGATTACATAATCCAGGTTTGTAGGTTTGGCGGTTTGTATTATTGATAATGATTGAGAAGAAGTAATCCCTATGTATGTACGTACTGATCAACCATCGAGATGGTAACATGAACGGAATATTAATCATGTAACCTCAATTTTATATCCTTAAACAAGTCTGTGTATTTAATATTTCACTGAATGTGGTTTGAAATGTTGATAAAGAAAGTTTATTTAAATGATGAGATTTTATTTAAATGATATAAATGGTATTGGTAGATGTTATAATAGTTATATATATATATATATATATATATATATATATATATATATATATATATATATATATATATATATATATATATATATATATATATATATCCTAATGCATATGGGATAATGGGAAGAGAAGTGCAGGGCTTATGATCTCACATGGGTTAATGGAATGTCAACCCTAACAAAATTATTCCAACGTCGCACAATCATTTGACATGAACGAATTAATATGTTCTCAATCTTGTAAATAAGATGTAACATTTAGGGCGAATTATCGAAAACATCCTACACAGTTGCACTATATCTCCAATTTTTTAAATGGTCATCATATTTTAAATTGAATAATTACATTCCTTATTCATATTGGGCAGGTTTTAAATTGGAATCCATCATCCAACTATTTGGTGTGTTGATATATACTCCATGATTCCCTTCGTCAACTTCATAAGGGAAATGTCCAACTAGGGTCATAAATTCAAAATTATATGTGATCAACTTGAGTGATTGGTCTTGACAAAAATTACGGCTTATTGTGTGCCTTTTTCAAGACCTTTTTTTATAACACAACAGGCTATAAAACCACGTCCTTCTTTTTGTGATCTTCTCTCTCAAGCAGAAAGTCATGAATTGTTTTTTAGTTAACGGTTCATTTCTTCCACACGTGGCGTTTTCATCACAACCACATCAACCTTCTCTTGAACACGGTTCCCATGGCTCGTGTAATTCTTCATGTGCTCATGGCAGATCCTAAAATCGGGGTGCGTACACAAATGGTCATGGCAGATCTCGCCATCCCACACTGCCAACTTTATTGCAAGGATAGGCATTATGCCATTCAATGTCCGAACTTTTCCTTGTTTCTTAGCGCACATCATCGCTTGACAATGTCATGTCACTAACAACTCTTCCGACCAATATGTCGAGTTCGTGTTTTTATTCACAAGACAACTTTTTCCAATCTCATTGTTTCCACACCTTATTTTGGTAAAAAACAAGTCTTGTCTAGGTAACGACAATGCTCTTTATATATTACACGTTGGAATTTTTTTAAGGATTTACAGTTACGCGATGTTCTAGTTGTTCCTCATCTCACAAATTTTTTACTTTTAATTAGCAAACACACAAAAGAACACCATGTTGACTCCAAGGATTCGACGAATGTATAACTCTTGATTCACAACTAAAGATATGAGTTGACATAATATTGGACGCTCAATGGATAATATGATGCGTCATCCGGTTGATGAGATTTCATGGCAAGATTTTGATAAGAGATATCCAGAGTTTGCCAAAAAAAACCTAGAAATGACCGTCTAGGTTTTTGCTTGCTAATCGCTTTTAGCCATTAGACAACTTTAATATCACTTATAGTACTTGGCCGGTTATACTTGATAGGTTTTCTAGCTTATAAAATTTTACATGTGGCGGAAAAACACTTAAACCCTTAAGTTCACATGAAACCTAGAAAGGATCTATGTTTTCTCTATTGATAGCAACTACCTATGAATATCAAGAAACCCTAGGAGAGAGGCTATGAAATCGAAATTCACATCAAATTAGGGTTACATACCTTTTGATTATTATTGAAAATAATCAAAGTAGAATCATTCTTCAAAATCTTGGAAAGCTAGCACCAATGGAATGGATGTCTCTAATAGCTTGTACCCAAAACCCTAGTAGAAAGAAGACTAGAGGAGAGAGGAGGCTTGAGCAAAATTTCGGCTGTATAAAGGGAAGAAGGAGTGGACAGAAATAATAAGAGCCAGGGAGGGGTTTATATAGTTGGAGGAAAGTTGAGGCCAAAGCTAGAGTTTTTGGGATAAGGCCCAGATTGATTAATATAAGAATCAAGCTGCCTTATTTCCTTATCATAAGCCTCATGAACGAAAATTCTAAGTTATTGTTGGGATTATTTTGTGTTGTGTCAATAATTGTATTGTATTGTTATATTTAATCGTATGTAACGGGCTGGGCCTGTCCACCCGATATTAATGTGCTAGGGTTAGAGTATATAGTGCATTCATGCACCGTGTTTATTAATAATCGTGTAACCCTACTCTGCCTTTACAGTAGCAGTTCTTAATCGAGCTCTTCTAAGGTATTGCTTTTATTCATTCGGCACAACTTTGTTCTCATTTCTTGGTGTTTGATTTCTCTACCTGTTTGAATCTATCAATCTTATAAGTTTTATTCTCATCAATTGGTATCTGAGCAGGAGACTATGTAATCTATACGCATCTCTTCTGTTAAAGAGCTATTAGGGTTTCCGCTTTGATTGGATCTATTCTCAGCTGTCATCATCGTTTTTAATTACTGTTGACGTTGAATCTGGATCTTGATTCTACCCTAAACTCGATTTTAGTTTACACATCTGGTTCATTACAAGTTTCTATTGAATCGACATCATGCATTCAAAAGATTCTCATACTCTTTCATTCAACCTTTCCAGCAGTATTGGTTCTACAACAAGAATCCCAAATCTTTTTCTGCTTGAATATGAGGTGTGGGCACTACACTTCGAGGATTACGTTCAAGGATTTGAAGATCATGGTTCCTTGATATGGGAAGCCATGACGGTGCAGACGTTTGAACATACTGGTACAATAAAAGTACTTAAACTCAAGCCGATTACAATAATCTTCTTCTTGAAGTAAAAGATGTCCTACAGGACGAGAAAGACAAGCTAATCAGTAACGTAAAGGCGATGAGGAAAATCAGATTCGCTTTGCCTCCAGACACCTTTCGTGTGGTGAGTGCCTGTGAGACAGCAAAAGAGATATGGGACAGGCTAAAAGAACTCTATTCTAGTGATGTTGATCTTGAGCATTCCATTCAGATGTTGCTTCTCTCGGAGTTCGAAGCTTTTGTCCAGAAGCCTGAGGAGAAACTTGACCAAACATTCAACCGGTACAATGATCTTTTAAGTAGGATGGTGAAAAATAAAATTGGACGCGAACTGATTGAACAAAATCTCACATTCATGAACGGCTTGAAGGCAGAATGGAAAGCTGTGGTGTCAACGGTTAAAGCGCATGAGCAGTTTAAAACCTACACTTTAGCGAAGCTTGTGGGAATTCTTAGGTCTCACGAGGACGAAGTTACAAAAGAACCGAAGATTGTTTCTAGGATGGGTTCTTTGGCATTAGTCGCAAAGACCAAGCAGGTTGTAGAAGAAGAAGGTTCAGAGACGGATCTCTCAGATTGTGAACTCTCAAAGGAGGATTATGCACTGATGGTGTCAAACCCTAGGAAGTTCACCACAAAGAACTTTGGACGCAGCAAAAAGCGGAAACTGGAAAGGAAGTTACAGCTCTGAGAAGACGAAGGGTGAGTGTGTCAACAACTTTCAAAAGGAAGAAGTGAAGAAATATAGCATGCTGGTGGGAGATTCTGGATATGACTGTAATTACTGTCATGGAAAGAATCATTTGGAAAAAGAGTGTATGTTGATAAAGCTGAATGGGAAGAAAAAGACGAAGCCTACTATCTTCGAAATATAGAGGAGCTCAAGAAAAAGAAGAATACTGATAACGCTAAACCTGCTTTGATTGTGCAGGAAAATGACAACGAGTTTGGAAGAATTGAAGTTTGGTCAACTGACTTGGAGGATGACGAGGTTCGCAGACCGACACATGGCAAGTGCTTCGTTGCGAAGGCTGGTGTTTTGGAGTACGAGGGAAAATGCTTCATGGTAAACAATGATGTTTCAGAGCAAAGGGGATATACTTCTGACAGTTGCTTCGCTGACCCGTCACAAAGCAGATCAACGAATGTGAGAAGATGATAAGCAAGGTAAATTCTATTCTCGAATCTTTAAATATTACTGTCTCTAGGTGTGAAACCGAGTTAAATGATTTAAACTTCACAGTTTCTAGTTGAAGTGATAGTTTAAAGAGAACCCGTTTAAGTAATAGTAACTTAACTGATCAAATCAGCAGGGTAACATCAAAAAGTGAGGAAAGCCGGATGTGGATTGAGAAGTTAGAGTTGGAGTTATCTAGGTCTAGAGATGATTTAATTTATTCCCAACGAGACAATCTAGGGCTTTTGAAACAACGAAATATTTTTTTGTTTGATTGCTAAACGTTTTTATTCTAATATCACTCAACTACACATTGATTGTGAAATAGGAAAGAAAATCCATAAAATGATTTTGCCTTTTCTAGAAATGAAAGAGGACGAAATCAATGCAGACTGTTTCAAATGCGAATCCATCGTGTCATCTAATAAAGTCTCCGATGCTTACAAAATAGGACTAGACAAAATTGAATCTTATATACAGTCCAAAGAACATAAGAACATGTTAAAACAAATTTTGAGCGAAAAAGATAAAGAGCAAATTAACTGATACTTTACAGAAATTTGACTCTTTATGCACTAAATTAAGTTCTGATAATACACTTGACGTTGAAAATGTATCTGAATTTGATGATGATAGTGACATTAGTGAGATCTCTGTGGAGGATGAGGTTGATTGTTCAGAATTTGTTAAAAGTGAACCTAAACTTGCGAAAAATTTTATTTCTGAAAATTCAATTGAGTACGTTTGCTTGTCTGAAAACCGTTAAAATTTTTTAAAAGAAAAGACAACTGTTTCCCAAAGGTTCAAACTGTACCAAACCAGGTCTTTGCAACTTCAGGACTTAACAAAAATCAGACCAAAGAA